TTTATGTGAATATTGCCAAATGGTATCCGAAGGAAAAAAAAGGACTACTCTTCGATGAGGAGGCGGACGTAGTTAGAGGAAAGAGCGGGAAGGAACTGAATACACACTGACAAGGACAAAATGACTGTGCTTGACGTGTGGGAACGTCTAAGAATGCATAATGAGGCCAGAGCAACATGAAAGCTTGAAAATGTGAATACTGCATTGCTTTGGCTCACGTGTAGTTATGCACTGAATTTGTGAACTATTCAGGAACTTGTTGGTTTATCTAATGTTTGTGTTCAGCTATTGTTCCATTGCGCAAAATGGTCACAGACTCCAACCCGATCTCACTACACTCAATACAAGTATTCGGCATAAGCAAAGAAACTTTTTTCGGCCTATAATGGCACTGATATTTACAAGATTATTTGGTACAAAAAAAAGTCTTTTAAGAGCCAAAAAAACCTAATCTACATGTGAGCTTTTGAAAGAACTATGGTAAAGTTTTAAAGACAATTCTTTGATGTCTTCTGATGTGGTTATTTTGTTTGACTGAAATATCGCAAATTGTAATAATGTCTAACATCTGCGGTTTCCTTGTGTCTAGTGGCATTTTGTTCTTCTTTTATGGTCTTTTTCGTATACACCTAAGGTAGAAGGGTTATGTGCCGCCGTTCGCATTTATCGCCAAAATCTGCATGGTAAGGCGTCGTGTCCTCTTCACTGGCAAAATGACAACCTCTGTAAATTCAGTCATTTTGCGCATAAATTTTAAATTTTCATCTGACAGCTCCTGGAATGCGCGTTATTTCTTCAATCCCTATTCTTGAAGACATACATACCTAACAACAACCTCTTCCTGGAACTATTACCTTCATCAATATGGCTGCTCTTCAGCAAGGATCAAAAATTTGTAGTAACAATACATTGGAAACTTGCACGCATATATTTCAACACTCATCTGCAAAACAGTGCAGAATACAATGCATCGGATAATGAAGCAACGCCTCTGTTGAAAGGGCAAAAGCATGATGTTTGAAGCACTTTTCGATTGTAAATAAATTCTCTGCTTACAATCATTTCCCCGCATTTTAAATCAGAATGTCATTTCTCTGCTGGGCACCAACGCGAAGCTGCCATTAAGGCAATTTTCCTCACCCATGCTAATGAGTGCTGAGTTCAGCACTGAGACAAAGTGCGCAATTTTGCTATACAGGGTGAGCATCTCAAACATTCGTCATTGAAGTCTTGGAAATTAACAAGCAGCAGGACCTAATGGTAGTCCTTTTTCACACGATGTTCATCCAATTTCATTTACTTAGTGCCGATGACGGTCAGCGGGTTAATCACATATAGTATTTTTCTGCAAAATTAAAACTTAAAATATATTACCTAATATATATCACCATTTAATCAAAACAAATAATTTAACGTTACTATTGAAGCTTTGAGAGTAGACCAGCAAAAATAATTGTTATGCTACGCATAAGATGATTTAAAGGCCAAGCGCAGAGTCATTGCAAATACTGTGCAATCGAGTGGTCCAAAAACAGCCACATAGGAAAACTCAAGGCCATTATTTATGAAATTACTTTTGCATACTGTCTTTGTTCGTTCGATATGGCCGTAGCCATGACTGGCTTAATCGACTCCAGTGATGTCGCGTGTTGCTGTTTTTCACGCCACCCGATCGAATGTCAGGTGAGTGAAGGGCGTTGACCATTTCACCTCTCATCTGCGTGATCCGTGCACCATTGTCCAAAAATCATTTTCTCTGCGGTCTCTCACTGTATTCATCTAGGTCATGATTTGACTAGCCCTCCGTTTATGCCACCCAAAGCAGGGTTCAACGTAGAATGTTATGGAAACATGCTGTTCATGGAATCGCCGAAGGATATGTTAAGACAATGCGATCGGTGCTTTTAAATGACAGCCAAGATTCTGGCCACACTGCAACAGCTGCAGACCTCCTGATTAAGGGTAGCAATGGTCGAATACGTCTACCTTCCCCTGATCTCTTCGATCATATCATTCAAATATTTCGATTGGCCACTGGGTATCATAATGAAACCGAGATGTTTGAGGGCGCCAGTATTTTCCACAGTGATTGATTCCATGCTTACCGATTGTTTACCACCTTCTGGTATGCCCGAAGAAAAAATGTTCATTTTTGAGACATAAATGTGTGGTCCATCAGTGTGCAAACAACGCCGCATCATTTGCGTAGTAAAGTTTTCTTTGCACAGCTACATTGTTCGATGTTGGAGGGCGATATTTTCTGGGTGATCGAGGTCTGTGATACAAAAATCAGAGCTGACCTCCACGCGTCGCTGCCTTTGAGTGCCGTGTTGTGCAATCGATGGTAAAATTGAGCCGGACTGGCGAAAGAATACGGCCTTGCCAAAATCCAGAGCGCCTATCAAAAACTCCTGTCTCTTGTGCGTAAGCGCGAAATTTAACCTCGATTCGACTGTAGAATAACTCAGTATATTACTGATATATTATACATAGG